ACCTCKGGTGTTAGCTGGCACCCGTGGGGTTCTTTAGCAGAAGTTCCCCTAAAGGCAGCCAGATTGGTAACAGCTATCCAGGTGCCTGTGAATTGTAAACAATGCTGGCACGAGTTTAGGACTTCTCCTCTGTCAGCTTTCAGTTGCATCATGTGCTTGTGCAGGAAGGGTACCTGTCTGATTTTCTCCTGTCCTGTGGTTTGCACATGTCTGTATCTSTCTGTGGTTTGTAGCTTCTCTCTGTCCCCTGGAAGCTGCTCTGGCAGTGTCAAGGATCGGGGACTGGGTAGTTCAGCCTGGATGGAGGGATGGTGTGTGATGGAAAACCACCAACTGTCTTCTTTGATTTCTCCATATAAACTATAAGCCAAAGCCTTCTAACAATTGCCATTTTCTGCCAGTCTTTGGTTTATATATCTGTATGAAAGCACTGGACAAATGATGGTTGATTACTTGTTATTCGAACTCTCTGAAAAAGATTTTAGTTTGAACAAAATTGATTWAAAAAACCTGTCCATCCTGTTGGCAATATTTCTGGAATCAGGATAGTGGAGATTTTCCTCGCTTCACAAAAGCAGTTGTGTGACAAGTTAAGGACAATGTGTAGGTGCTCCRTGGCTCTGCTCTCCCACCCCTCACKCAGGGCTGCCTGGSCAGCAGCAGGGCTGGAGCCCCTYRATGGCACCCTGCTTGCAGGTTGTTCAGTGACCTACMGTCCTCTTCAGCTCCTTAGCTTGGCTTTCTCCCCTTTCCCTTATCATCCAAAGGGTTTGTGAAGACAGGTTCAGGCCTAAAATGATCATGAGCTCAGTTAAAAGCTGCCTTTTAGGAGTGTGGTTATTGGCTGTGGCAATATTGTACTTGGTGGCAAGGGGGCCTCTTATATCTCCAAGGATCCTGGCAGACACATAAATGGCTGCAATTCTCCCACCAGGGAAAAGGGGGCTGTGGTCTGTGTAARTGCATTTTGTCAGTGGAGGTTGGGTTTGTAGATGTTTGCATCTCT